CTTTTTAATATTCTCATTTTTTTTTTTTTAATTGTAGATTAGGTTATAATTTTTATTAATAGAAACTTTTAATAAGCTTTAAATTATTTAAAGCTTATTTGATCTGTGTGTTATTTTTTTTTTTTGCGTATATAAATTGGCATTTACGTTTCTAAATCTGTATCGTAGTTATTACTTATACATTATGGTTAATTCTTTTTTATGAATTATAATAAGTCTATTACATAATTTTAACTATCTCCTAACATATTAGGCATAAAAAATACAAAAATGAGTAATATTCCTCATTTTTTATGTAGATTAGGTTATATTTTTATTAGTGGAAACTTTTAATTTAAATTATTTAAAGCTTATTTGATTTATGCGTTATTTTTTTTTTTTTAGTTTCAATTGTTTATTAGTTTAAACTATATTTATTTAAATGTCTTTTTGTTTAATAGTAATAATAATTGATCCTACCATTGCCAATAATAATATAACCGAAGTTATAATTAACCAGATAAAATAACTTGTATACATAATATTACCTATGCAGGTAATATCCGAAATATCTCCCACATAAAGCAATAAATATGCTAAACCAATAAAAACAATACCGATAGAAATAAGATAACAGGATATGTTAGAAAATAATAATATTACTGATGCTATAATTAACCAGATAAAATATTTTTCCCGATTGGGAACCAAAAATATACAGCCGCTAATAACACTAATTTCAACTTCTATACATAGCATTAAAGTGGGTTTTACCATGCGTTAAAATACCACCATTTGTACCTATTCTGAGACTATTGAAGTCCCCGCTTACCACCCTTTGATCCATGACTACTATATGAGGAGGTAACACCCTATTACGTGACCCCTGCTCAATAACCTGAGAACGTGGTATAAGGAGACCTGTAAGTTGTAGGCTAGAACCTTCTGCATAATTTACACCTCCAAAATACAAAATACTCATAAGGCCTATCATTGAATTATATTCTTGTTTATTTGTAGTCAATAAATAAAAATCTGAATTAGGCTTTTTATTAAGATAAACACGTAAAGGGTCTCTATTACGTTTGTTTTTTCTTCTTGTTTGTTTACTCTCCACTTTGTTATTTAAATTTAAGCTATCTATGATACTTGAAGATAGTATAAAAGTTGCTGCAACTAATATTATAGTTAAAAAAAGCGTATTATACTTTGATATATTTTCTAATATATCACCAAGGTCTAGGTAATAATAAAACAAGATATTTGTTGACATTATATTTTAAAAATTTTCTCCTTTCTTTTGCTACGTAGAGATAGAAATTCCACAGTACTTTTTAGTATTTTTTAAGAAAAAATACTAAAACTGTAATGATGACTTTTATAAATTATTTACCTTTTTTGGTATGGTAATAACATTAAAGATGTTAAATGTAATGATCCACCATATCTTGTTGAAAGTCAACTTAATATTTTTATTCCCGTGGACTAGCCACAGCTCGTGTAATAACCGGTCTAGGATAAACAGAAGGAAATGTAAACCAAATATTTATTAACCCACACGTAACAACAACGTATACCGCGCTGACTAATGTCTCTTTTTTTATTGTTAGTCATTATATCACAGATAACATTTATTTTTTACATTTAGATTTAATGACATAAATCTAAAAATAAAAAATAATAATACAGCTTTTCTTAGTTACGCCTTGGATGGAAGAAGATCTAAGCAGAAAATGTCGCTTTTTATAAAGTTACCTTTAGTATTAAAGATTTACTTAAAAAATAAAGCGGATAAAAAAGTATATTTGCACGCTAATAAAACTTTAAGGCCCTATAAAATGCAATAGTCTTTAAAGATTTATCATTTACTTGGTTGGTTATAGCACTAAAAAAAAATCAATATTTTATGTGTTAAAAGTAAATAGAATAAATATACCTAATAATGAGCCCAAAAATGTATATAAGAAAAAATAAAAACTCGCTCTTAATTTATCTCTGGATCCAAAAAATTCTATTAAAATAAGGGTGCAAGTATACTTTCGAAAAAATATATAAAACATTAATACACCTAAACAGCACCACAAATATTCCAATTAACGTTTCTAATAAAGTTTAAGGTTTAAACATTAGAACAAACATTTTTATTAATTAATTTTTGACCCCCCTGACCCTCTCCTCCCCGATCTTCGCAAGCAGATAGTTATTCTCTGTTGCTTATGCCTAACGCCTTGTCGAGTACTGGTCCTTTGTAATTAAACTAAGTTTCAAATAAAAATTTTTATTTTTTATTTTCTCTTGTAAGTATAATTAAGGCATGAATTATAATTAAAATATTAAATTCACTGAAGTTTATTACACTTACGTAAGAGATTAATCCTATAAGTATATACAAAGCATAATTAGTAACAATACCCGTACTTAAAGAATCTATTTTTTCACTTAAATTTGTTAATTGTTGTTGTAAACCAAAAGGTCCAAATAACTCTACTGCACCTTTATCTAATACTTTAGTAGTTTGTCCACCTAAGTAAAGAACTGTACCGGATATGTATCTATTATAATACATTTCTACTAAAAATCTTTGGTTGAAAAAACTAAATATGTTGTGACCAAATCTAGATAATTTAAAACCAACAAGTAATCTAGGATAGAATTCCGTTAAAGCAATAGAACATATGGTTAAAGTAATTGTAAACAATAAAGGTAATAACTTATAGAAAGTGTTTACCGCAAACTCAGTATCTAACATAAGTTCATGATGAGGATGTATAAATAAAGCATTATCCGAAAAGAAATCTGAACCTAAACCTATAAATAGATCTTTAGTTATATAACCAAAGAATATAGAAAATAAACCTAATATGACTAAAGGTGCACTCATAAATACATCTCCCTCGTGCGCAGATTTATTAAGTTTATAATTAACTAAAGAACCATTAGGATTTGTTAAAAAAGTCAAATAAAGTACCTTTACTGAATAAAGTGTAGTAAACATAGCACCAATTGTTGCAATAAAATATATAATTATACTAGATAATTTGTATTGACCATAAGCAGACTCCAAAATAAAATCTTTAGAATAAAAACCTGTCATAAAGGGAAAGGCAACTAAACTAAGAGAAGCTGTAAGCATAAGTGAATAAGTTAAGGGTAAATATGAGACTAAACCACCATATTTTCTAAAATCTTGATTATCTGCAACTGCATGTATAACTGCACCGGCACATAAAAATAATAAACCTTTGTAAAAGGCGTGATTAATTAAATGAAATAAAGCAATTGTGTAGGAAGATAAACCAATAGCTATAACCATCATCCCTAATTGACTCATGGTAGAATAAGCTATAACCTTTTTTATATCTTGTTGAAATAAACCGATAAGAGAACTAAATACAGTAGTAATAGCACCCACTCATAAACAGAGTAACAGAACAGTTGAACTATATTCTATTAAAGGAGAAGCTCTCATTAATAAATACACACCGGCGGTAACCATAGTAGCAGCGTGAATTAAAGCAGAAACTGGAGTAGGACCCTCCATCGCCATTGGTAATCAAACATGTAAACCTACTTGTGAACTTTTAGCCATAGCACCGATTAATAAACATATACCAACAAAAAAGATAACACTTTCGCTATAAAAGGGTGAAAGTGAAAATACAGTTGTATAATCTACATTTCCAAATGATCATAAAATAGCAAACATACCTACAGTTAATACATAATCTCCTACTCTATTAGTAAAAAAGGCCGCTAAAGAGCTTTGATTTGCCGCGATTCTTGTAAATCAAAAACTAACTAACAAATAAGAACAAACTCCTACACCTTCTCATCCTACAAACATAACTAAAAAATTATCTCCGGTTACTAAGATTATCATCATAAATGTAAATAAACTTAAATAACTGAAGAATCTTTGGTTGTGAGGGTCATGACTCATATAGCCTATAGAATAGACATGTACTAAAGATGATATGATCAACACGGGTATTAACATTGAAACCGTTAAAGAATCAAAGTTGAACGCTCAAGATACATTTAAATACTCTGCATCTATTCACCGGAATAAATGTATTTTCACTGGATTTTTATTTAAACCTACTTCTATAAAAGCTAAAATCGCTAAAATTGTTGTTGTTATAACACACGTACATGTTATTATTTGTGATCCGCTAACTCCGATTTTTCTACCAAAAAAACCGGATATTATTGATCCTAATATTGGTAACCCTATTAAAGCTAGATACATTATTTATTTTCTATAGCTATAGAACCACGCAGTCTATAAAATGCTACTAAAAGACCTAAACCTATTGCAGATTCTGCTCCCGCAATTGCTATTATATATATAGATAATACTTGTCCTAATATATCATCAAAGCTTAAGGAACTTATCAAGATTAAGAAAGTTATAGATAATAACATTATTTCTATAGAAATAAGCATTAATATTATATTTTTTTTATTTAAAACAAAACCTAAAGTCCCAATTAAAAACAAAATTAGTGATAATCTCATTAAAATTTGCTGATTAATAATATTGTTGGCTAATCCAGCATAAAAATTGAACTAAATTAAGATACAAACCTGAATATGATTAACTACACCGAAAACCAAAAATGGAAGAAAAAAGCCAAATGCGAGGGTAAATACTTTGAATTGAACAAAGAACTACTATGCCACAAATAGTGGTTTTACCTTTAAACTATATCTACCTTAAAAAAAAAAATTAAGCAACATATAATAATAAGAATGCCATCATTAATGCAAATAATCCTGTAGCTTCACTGAAAGCGAAACCAAGAATTGCGTAAGAGAATAATTGTCCTCTTAATGAAGGATTTCTAGATACACCTATTATTAATGCACCGAAAACTACACCTATTCCTACACCGGCTCCTATTAAACCTGTTGTTGCTAAACCTGTCCCAATTATTTTTGCTGCTTGTATCATTCGTTTATTTATAACATCTGTCCTACAAAAGAACCTTCTGTATTATTTTTAATAGTAAAAATATCTTATTCTTATCCAGGACTTGAACCTGAATGGGAATATTAGAAGTATTCTGCTTTACCATTAAGCTAATAAGAAATAGGAAGAAAAGGATTCGAACCTTCGACAGCAGAATGCTATTGAGTTTACAGCTCAACCCGTAAACCAACAAACGGACCCTTCCTTTTTTTTTTTTATCTTTTAGCTTTTTAATTAATTCCCATCTTTTTTCAAATAATAAAAACGGAGCCCGTTTCATTTTTTTGGATAGGAAGTTTTAAGCTAGTAACTGTGGCGTTAGGGTATTTTAAATCCACATATTGACCAGCATATTTTCTCCCCTCAAATTCGAGGCTAGTCATTTTTGTGGACCCATCTAGACCTAATTTTAACGCTTTCACATTGCTACCCTGTGTTGATGACCTTACACTAACTAAGTCAGGTTTTTCTTGTCCTTCTGGCGTTTGTAATTCTCTTAAGAGATTATAACCGCCTTTTTCTAGAGTATCTGTAACATAATAAACACCCTTAACTTTTAGAAGTTTAAGATTTAATAAGGGCTTGTCTAGATTTAGATCAGTATTTTCTGGTGCTTGCGTTACTGGATTAACTTGTAGACCGCTTCCAGAGCCAGATGCTTCACTTGTAGGCGCAGGGTTTAGCGGTTTACTTATATCCATCATTAAATTATTTAAACCTATTTCATTACAATTAATATTAGGCACTTCTCCAATAAAATCCATTTGATCCAACATATAAAGATAAGAGAAAGGATGATATAAGGCCATACATAGTAATTTGCATCCTTCTCATAAAACTATATTTGTTGGTAAATACTTGTGAATAAAATATAATTCAAGATCTTTTAAACATGCTATGTTAAAGAGAACTATAATAAATATGTGTAAACGTGTTTTAGATAAACGGGCAAATAGAAATAATATAAATTTTCATAAAATATAGATTATTACAGTTAAAAGTAAAAAATTAAATATTACTTGATTAACGAAAAAAAAAGGTATAAGTTGAGGCATA